GGTTTGGAGCAGGAGTATTCCATAGAAACTTCTGTGGTTCAACACAGAGGATGGGGCTTCACCTAGGCCTCCAGTTAAAATGAGGTAGCAGATGGGCCTTCCTTTAGGAATCCTGCTCCTCGCACAGGCCCGTGATTGCCCATCTCCAGTCGATTCCTGTTTATCTAACAAGGAAAGTAATAATAACTTCCACCCTAATCTTCACAGAGGTGCTGAAAACACTGAAGTTTAAGTTGACTCTGCTGTAAACAGTTACCAGAAACTGAATCTATCAGGCCGATTCGTGCACATTTTATTTTAGTAAACTTCCTTTGTGATGTTTTGGTCCATTTAATAAAAAATTATGAAACTTCAAAAGGAAAACAATGAGCAAGTTTAAATTTTTTTCTTGCCTAATATATGCTCACACTATACAATCTTTTATGTAAGGAAGAAAACCCAGTAAGCATAGTACTTTTCAAATCATTTTTATTAACAACAGTATGGATTCAACTTTGTCAAGACGTTACAATTAACATTGTAATGTACTGGCTAATGTCATTGCAGTGTCAGTGGAAGCAGCCTTCGTGCTTTCTAAGTCTATTACAAAACTGGCTTTTTATCTCTCAAAGAAGTCAAAAATGCTTCCAATAGCAGATGATATTGGATATGTCTGGAATTGTCCTATGTGTGACCACAGCTGAAGGAAATGGCCACATTTGCATCTAGATGAATGAACAGGAAAATATTACATGCTTCCACTGACGCTGCAGGGGACAATTCTTATTTCAAAAAACAATTAACCTTTTTAGATAGTGACAGCACTTTATGTGATGTTGTAATCCATTTGAATTAAGTCGATTAACACACTTGGAAAAAAACGTGAAGCGGAAATATCTGGGGCAAATTCTTTTCTGACCTGTATTTCATTCAAACCTAATGAACCCAAAAGGATTGCATGACATATGAGTCAGGATAAAAGTTGGCCCAGAGAGGCAAGTTCATTCCTGGTATAGGTGGGTTCAGTTCCTTTAAGGTCAGTGGAACTGAGCCTGATTATTCCAATGGAGACTGAACTTCACCCAGTTGGGCAGTGAATTCATTGAAGTCAGTGAAGCCATCCAAGGATGAATTTAGCCTCAGGTGTTTAAACCCTTTTTCCATTCCTTTGCTGTTAGATTTTCTTTTCCTGCTTATTCCTCTTTTCTGATTATTCTCCTTTTCTCTGTGCTTTTTCAAAAATGTCCCTTCTCTTTTTCCCTTTTTACATTAGTACTTTGTGCGTTATTTTTTATATAGTCAATGTGACATGGGTAAATTCAGCTAAGTATTAGTTTCCTCAGGAAATAACTGGAATATTACCATTTTCACTTTAAACAGATGCCCAACAAAATAAGGATTTGAATCTGAGCTCCCGATTCAAGAAAAATTCTTGATTCCATAGAATGAAGGAATTCCATAGAATTTTTGCTTGAGTAAGGATTGCAGGTCCCAATCCAGAAATACTACTGTACATCAGATGTTCTGCTATACGTGAGCAATTCGGTATGATTTCATTTATCACAGAAGAGCAGGTGAATTACTCATCACCATACTATAATGAGAGCAGTCACTCTAAGTAGGATTATCTCAAAACCATATGGAACAACTGTGGGCACTGTGAATAAAAGTGTATGATCTTTGCAATCTTGAACCCTAGGCTAAAACACTATATTCATATTTAAATAAAAAGTATAGATCATATAAGCCAGGAGCAAATACAAATTTTTAAACAAATAATAATCATCAAAACTATTCTTTTCAGTTCTCTCTTCAGTCAGGTACAAGAAACATGCTGATCAGAAAACAGTTATTTGGATAAGGCTTAATTCCTGACGCTCTTAATTAAGTTCAAATTCTCTCTTCAACAATCCTCAAGTGGATTGTAAATCGGAAAAAAAAAATTGTCCTTTGTCCTTAGTCATGAACAATTCTTACTAGCTGTCATGAGCTGGACTTTAACGAGCGGCTCAGGACAAGACTTGAAAAGGCAGACAGGTCCTTCTTTTATAAAACCAGTGAATGACTGTCAGTCATGACACTGTCTTTTAAAGAGAGAGCGTAGAAACAGGAAACTCCTCATGAGGAAATATGAGCAAAGCTTATAAAAATCCAAACAGACAATTCTTCCTCTCCAGAATTTAATATATTCACTACTCTTTCTATTTTCTATTGATATTATGTTAAAAAATTCCTACATGATAAGACTTGCAGCTACAAAAATAATAATGGTTAGCATAAAAGAAAAAAAAATAGGATTTTAAACCATAATTTGAAAAGATAACGATTTTCTGGATTTATTAGTACTTTGTAAAGACATTAACATTTTCATACATAATTTATAGAACTCATTCTTTTGTGCACAAAATTGTATTAAATAAATTAACTTAAAATTAGAAGGACTCAAGCATGTCACTTAAGGCAAAAATACCAAGTTTCTGTGAGATAAATTATCATCAAAACCCAAGGCCCTGTTTCTGTGTGGAATCCGTAAGGGCAGGGCTGACGCTCAGTTCTCCCATTGACTCCATCTGGGCTCAATGGGGATGCAACCATCTGCTCGTGCAGATGAAGGTGGAAGAGTGAAGTTCCATTCATGATGCTGTGACTTTTCAATCTCGTCAAGGAGGGGAATGGAGTTTCATTACTGACACACAGTTGCCATGTGCCTGATCTTTTGCTCCTTAACTGAAGCGCAGGTTTATGCTTAGGCCAGAAGGAGACTTTGTATGAAAGGCAAGAAAGGCACCATAGGAAAGAGAAAGAAAAGCCTAACAAAAGAAAAGCCTAAAGAAAAAAACTTGTAAGTTTTAGAATTTTGGATAGTACTTTAAACTTACAGATCCGTCTGGGTAAACTTGTAGACATTCAAATAAGTTAATAGTCAAAGGAACCGAGATGTGGGAAAAAACCCTATTTATCCTCACAAAATTACTGTTGTAATCAGGCTTCAGTATGATCAGACTGCACATAAAAGAAATCAGGGAAGGCTGAATGTGGTTAAATTATATGGCAAATCAGTGGTGAGGAAATTGTGCTTCAAGGTGTCTTTCAGGATTTAACAACTGAAGTTTGCTCTGGCGTAAGCCATGGAACACAGTGTACCATCCGTGGACCCCGTATAACGACACGATATATACACTCTACAGTTTGCATGTACTTTCACATAATAAAGTTATCATGTAACATCCAGGAATACTTCTGTAAAGGAAATACGGAAGCAGAAATTACAATGGTTTCATAGTAAACAGATCAAGTCCTTCACAATACAATCTACAGCATTTAGCCATGGTTAAGACTGGAGTGACATTTTTGATGTACATAGTAAGTTCCCAGCAGGTCTGGGCCTTGAGAAAACACTGCCCTGAGTGAGCTGGCACTGGCACCCCCGTACATTCGGTGTTCCTGCTGCTAGAGGGAAGCTGAGCCCGCATCAGGTTGTCTACAAGGCTGTGGTGCAGGTGGGGTGTAAATCTAGGGGGCAACACACAGGAACCGCGCTCAGCTGGGAAGAGCGAACGCCTGTGTAGGCTCTGCAAGGGTTCTTCCAGGCGAAGCCTTGCTGGGGATGTGTGGGTAGGCACTAACACTGCTCCTGCATCTCAGCAGAAGCGAAGCGTAGGTTAGGATGAGAAAAAAAGAGGATGTATCAAGCAGG